CAATGTTGGCTGCGGTGGCATGTCTTCTCGGTGGTTGAAATGGCCTTCCGTAGCCACGGTTTCACGAGTGGAGCGCGAAGTGAGTGAGCGAGAGAGAAGCCATTTCGGGCCATTTATTGGGTAACAATCGGGAGAGGGCACCCAACTATCCGCTGCCTAGAAATAATACCTGCTTTACCTATTTGAGTAGGTTATGGCCCTACATATTTGTTGTTTCATCTGACCTGCTGTCCACATGTTGTTTTACTTAGATTAACATAGTCTCCAACAGTTGAGATGTGACCGCTGCAGACCGAGCCATGGTTAATCAACCTTGACCTACGCTTACACGGCTGAAGAGTGACAGCAGTAGTGGGTTTGCGGCTAAATCTACCCTTGCACACCTTAGGAGAGTTGAGAAACGAGCGCGGTAGACCGACCATTGGTTTACCATCCTTCAAATATGCTTGCTTAGGTCACGAGCGACGACGTTAGTCCGTTTGCGGCCTTCTTTAAAACAGCATAGCTTATGAAATTTGGTTAATGATCGCTTTAGACCAATCCTATGTTTACCAACCTTGACATAAGCTTCCACAGCTGAAGAGCGAGCGCAGTAGTCGATATGCGGCTTGATATATGGTAGCATACGTTCAAACACTTGCGATACGATCGCTGTGGACCGGTCCTTTGGCATATCCATTAAGGCCATTTCTTCCTTAGGTGAGGAATGACCGTAGCTGTAGGTATGCGGCTCAATCTATGACACCATTCCCTTTGGACAGTTGCAAAACGATCGTCGTAGACCCACCCTACGTTAAACAACCTTAATATAAGCTTCCACTGCTGACAAGCGACCGCAGTAGTCCCTATGCGGATTATTCGATAGTAGCTTACCTACGGACAATTGCAATGCAATCGCCGTTGACCGAGCGCTTGAATTATCAATTTTTACCATTACTTCCAGAGGTCAGGAGCTACCGCAGTCGCCAGTGTGTGGCTCAGTCAATGGCTGCATAGCATAGAACAGTTGCGATAAGATCGCTGCTTTGGCCGGCAGCATTCTTTTGGGTGCCCTCTCCCGATTGTTACCATTTATTGCTTTGGAGTTGTCATGCGCTAGGTGCAATATAAGGCCTGTTGGACTGCGCTCAGTTGGCGGGAGCTAGCACGCAACTGCCAAACTGACTTTTCCATTCAGAAGTATCCCCATTGTCTGCGCACATCTCCGGACGCTTTTTTCTGGCTGACTTTTGTCCCCAGCACTCTCCTCTTCCCCGCTCCTATAAAAAAACACTGTATCATGTTCAGACAATCGCTTCTAGAACGTCAAACCAACCAACTGTTGACGCGTGTTTGGTTCCCAAATGCGGTGGTGTGTTTGCTGTCGGACAGCTGCGAGGGCGTTTGTCAGGTAACCGACCGCGGGGATTGATCTCGGACTCTACTGCTCTCTTCATTCTCATTTTGAAAAGACAGGGGGCGGGGAGAGTGAGGTGGAGGCAGCCTGCATTTGCGCATCTCATGTCTGCCCCTCCCTCGCCCCTCGCGTGCAAACATCCCTCTCATGATGTTCAGAAGGCAGTGCGTACTTTAATCTTTTCTTTCGAAGACTTTCCAGGCAAACCTAGTGTCTGTTACCTGCGCACTCACGGCGCGTAAATAGTCTCAGTATGAATCTCTTTACGTCCTGGTAGACTTCTTTTGCAGCTAAATCAAGGCCTGACAGTTCGACCATCGATTTCGATGATGTCCACCGTATGCCCCACAGCATTATGGGAGCAGGGACGGTGACTTGCGCAGGGGTTTATAGTGCCAGTAGACTTGCGCTGCATCTACCTACACTCTCTCCTCCTCCTCCTCCTCCTCCCCCGCCTGAGCCCGGTGTCAAGACAGAGTCAAGAAGACCGGAAACGAGGGAGGCCGCAGGGGGATGACTCGGACGGATCCTCGCCTTGGCGCTCCACCACACCCCCTGGTCCACACAACAAATGACCAGGATTTCAACCAACCAAAATGTTATAAATAAGGCATCTGATTTTTAGGATGATTTTCAACTGAACACCACGCATTTTAGCGCAAATTGCCTTCTATGGTTTGCATATTATATCTGAGCCTGTCCAAGCTTCTTTGGTAAGTTTGAATTCATATATAAATTAGGCCATTTCAAATCTTTTGTAATAAGGCCAAACGAACCAAATAAAATTGGGTAAGAGTAGACTGGACTGCCACAGATGTGGATTCCATTTCTGTCCCATTGCTGTCCTCAACCCACATCCTTTAAGTAGTTAACAGCGCAATTCTACCAAAAATATTTTCGGTTTATATTATTTATGTAGCACCAACACTCAACATAAAACAAATATAACAGTGCGCTACTGTCGCCATCTAAACGAATATTCTGACCTAGCAATGCACACTACAGAAATAACTGTTTGTTGATGAAATAAATCACCTTGAAACATCCAGCAGGGAACGTAAATTAATGCATTACTATGTCCTTACAGACAACAAGCCAAATATGGCCATTCCATCCTCCTATCCCCCCTATTTAGATTGCCACTTTAAAGGTACTGCTCTTTTTTCTTACACCGTCAGGTAGTAGTCAGTGCCCACAAAGGGGAAGCTTAATTCAGCTCCTTCAGTTTGTGGAGGAAGGCGTACTTAGTTTGTTTCTATTGTGCGCTGTAAGAAACGTCAACTGCCGCCGATCTGTCAAATTTCGAATAGTAAATTTGGTAGCAATTGAAAATCAAGACTGTAATGTATCACACATCTTTCGCGAGGCACAGTTGATGCAATTTTAATGTTCTTTTCAACTGGCGCGAGCTAAGATTAGCCTAACTGACAAGGTAAGAAACATTTTAAAAAAGATAAAACAGGTTAAATTGAATAGCACTTTTATATAAAAGTGCAGTTTGAATACCAAAAATGCTGCCATCAGTTTGAAATCATTGTTACTGTTATCTAAGAATATATAGCGTTGCAGTCCATTGCCGTTTCATTTTCTGAATGTTTGTTCAATTCAAGGGATGGGAATTCACTGTCACAGCAGGTACGTTCGACAAAACCACTCATACTCTTGCATTCAGTGGTAAAACGAATGCCCGTAGAAGCAACCGCCAGCTATTTATATGACAGTTCCCAGCCGCGTACACTTAGCCTGACGGATCTCCGAAAGCCAAAAATATCCTATACATCTGGCTAATCACGAACACAAAGGTAGAACGGAAATATATTGCCACTAGTCTCATCTAGTGCCCATAACTGTATCTAAGAAATAAAACTCGCATCGAATACAGTGGTGCCTCGTCTAACTCGTTCTTGTGTAATGACTAAATAGATAATTTATTTTAGACCATACCAAACACACCATTACTGTATTATATGAAGAAACTTTTCTGTGTTCTTTAAGAAAGTCGAAAATTTATGTCAAACAAGATCACAGAAGCCGTCAAATCTGTCTGTGAATTCATTGCCTCTAATAGTATGGATATATAATTACTGATGTAAGGCCTTCAAGGAGCTGTTATTGACATGCGCCTTAAATATGCAGTATTTATTTGACCACAATCCGTGTAGACAGTTCTACGGAGCAGTTATGGGCTCGCCCGTTGGTTCGATTTGGGCGAATATGTACTGATAAACTAGCTAGCAGCCTATGCGATTCGTCGCCAGATCAACCGCATGAAATACTATGGGCGCTACGCGGATGATATATTCGTGATTGCTGCTGGACTTAACGAAGTTTCAGTTCTACTCGATGTTATAAATCAGGAGCGTCCACTGATTAAATTCAGGCTGGAATGAGAACAATCCCCGTCCCGCCCCTTTTGTGGATGTTTATTTAATTAGGATGCCAAGCAGTCTTACTCGACGTAACGTCTATCGTATGAAGATGCGGTTCGTGCAATTCACCGATTGTAACAGTTCCGCACTGTTAAACTTGAAGCGTAAGTTAATCCACTGTTTGACGCAAAGAGCAAACAGGATCTGTTCGCTTGATTGCATTGAGGGCAAAAATACCGTAGGCATTACTCATGAAATTTGTCGGAATTTACTAATGATTGCCGACCACTCGCAAACCGACATCAATGCATGGATCCTATATCTGTCTACTTAATTACAACTTTGAAAGAATTAAAAACAAAATAAATATCAAAGGCAGTGTTGTGTTGCTTAGAAATGCTGGTTTTTTTTGGTAAAGCGGCAAAATCCCGAAAACGTCAAAATGGTTGTAATAAAGTAAACTTCGTTCTTCCATGAATAAAATATCTTCTCATCTAAAAACTGGGTGAAAATGAAAGTTCAAATAATCATACGTTTAAAAATAGTGTTTAAGTGAAGATTACGTTCAAATATTCTTAAAGAATTTGTGTAATTTCGAACATGGCGGTTCATCAACAGTCTACATTCTGAGTATAGATTCTAAAACAGTTTTCTGGAAATTCGTGGTATTCTACACTAAGTTGAGTTGAATGAGATGGGGTTCAACAAGATAGATGGCATTTTGCTAGATTTAACTCGTTCCGTTGTGCCCTGGGGCTCATATTGGAACCCTGGCAGGCAGTCGCACAGCGACTAGTAGTAGACATGACAGTTCGACCATCGATTTTGATGATGTCCACCATATGCCCCACAGCATTATGGGAGCAGGGACGGTGACTTGCGCAGGGGTTTATAGTGCCAGTAGACTTGCGCTGCATCTACCTACACTCTCTCCTCCTCCTCCTCCTCCCCCGCCTGAGCCCGGTGTCAAGACAGAGTCAAGAAGACCGGAGACGAGGGAGGCCGCAGGTGGATGACTCGGACGGATCCTCGCCTTGGCGCTCCACCACACCCCCTGGTCCACACAACAAATAACCAGGATTTTAACCGGCACAACAGAGATTGGAGGCTGGCACGACCGAAGCAGCACCTAGGCGTGCCGCCAAGAATCAAGGCCTAATGTACGCTGGCAGGTGCATTCCTATGCGACCATGCCCTGGCCACACCACTAGACGTCCCGCCCCCATTAGCGGTTACTATTCAGCCAGAACTGGGGGCCAAGCCTTCTGACGTGACGTGGCAGTTCGACCGTTGCATCCGACGATTTCCACGTTGACACGTTGCGCAGCATCTACCGCACTCTCTCCTCCTCTCCCACCTGAGCCCGGCGACGAGGCACAGTCAAGAAGACCGGAGGCGGGGGAGGAAGCAGGTGGAGGGCGCGGCCGGGCCCACACCTTGACGTTCCACTCCACACCTCCTGGTCCACACAGCAAATGACCAGGTTTTTGACCAAGAACAACAACAACAGCAGCAACAGCAACAACAACAAAAACAACACCCCCAACAGGGGCCATAGAGACAAAGATGACTGGGCAGCCATGCCCACCAACTGTGTACCTAGCGGGAGCGCAAGCGCACCTACCGGCAGGGAACCAGGTGTCAGGGAACTGCCAGCGCTCAGCAGCCTGCGAGGGCCGTGGCTTGTTGCCACCGGCACAGTAGACGGTTACAGTCCTTTCGACCTCTTTCCGGACGACAAGACGGTAGTCTGTCCGTAATTCCATATTATACATCGCTCTTCTCACTAACATATCACGCTGACTGCGTCTCCTGACGAGACCACAGTCCAAGAGGTGTCGGCAGCGTTAATGCGACTGCATACATATTGGCTTTTGCCGACCTGGAGAGCGAAGGCAGGTGTTGGTCCTGAGGAGGACGTTTACTGTACCGGTCCTTATCTCAAAGGGGGCCGCTGTCTTTGCAGATACCAATCCCGTGGAGACCTAACACCCTCCCTCACCCTGCATACCAAAATGTGTACCTATGCTGGCACTCAAGTCAGTCAAGACAATCAGTTTATTCACAGTGTGCATAACTTCGTAGAACTCGTTCTTCCTATGGCACCGGCTTGCCACTGAGGAATCTTAGACATGAACGAGAATGTCTTACACGTCAATAAGTCCCAAATTAAATGACATGGTACCAACAAAGACAAGGGGGAACGGAATGGCCATTTCTGGCTTTTTAGCCGTCATCAGCCAGTCATACCCAACCCCAAGTATGGATCACTTGATCAAAGATCCCGGGTTCTGCAGTGGACATAGGCATGCGCTCCCGAGTGTGCAGACCTTCGTCTGACCAATCAAACAGGTAAGTAAGAATTAGCGAGGTTTACCGTTGGGGGGGGGGGGCGGTGGGCAGAGGGAACACACTGCAACTATGAATGTCGGCAGTCGTAGAAATCCGTTCACTCAAACAGTTGTTTGTTTGGTAAGAATGTCCCTTCTCGGCAAGGCAATCGAAGATGAAGCCAGAATCCGAAACTCCAACATCAGCTGGGACTGACTGGGTCGTTCGCCTCCTCTCAGGTCCGAACGCAGACCGTGGCTGCTCAAGGGAGCAGAAGCTCATTCGAGGGTAAAATGTCAATGGCGTATTTCGAAAATTTAAATCTAGATGAAGGTTCGTGGAACGGGGGCCTCAGATGTGCAGCACTCGAGAAGTAGGTCCGTGACGCGGGGGTCAGACGAACGTCTCGTAAGGAGATGG